CACAGAATTTCCCTGAGATTTTCATGGAGGCTTAGCAGGAAAGGAGGTGTAACTACCTCCCCCCACCAACTACGCAGGATTGACAAAATAGCGCAGTGGGGAGGGAGATACGTACTGGGCGAATGTCTGCTGAGCTCCAGCTCTGGTCTCTCCAGGCTGCTCTGAAAGTCAGGAGGCAGCAGGGAAGCCACTCCCTCAGGATGGATCATCTCGTCCTCCGACTCAGCTGAAGCTTCTGCAAAGTACAGATTGGGTCGGGGCAGGGAGGGAGTGAAGGGCTCAGCATGTGGGAATATGTAGAGGAGTGAAGGAGGTCAGGCAAAGTCATAGATACAGAGATACACACCAAAAAGAGTACTGTACATAAAGAAAAAGCTCCCTCGGATTATGTTCTACCTCACCTAAATGTTAATTTAATTTACTTATAACTCTTCCTGTTGGCAGGAATTCTTTTCTAACAAGACAGTCAAATTAGGTGTCCTCTTCCCTGACAAAAGTAAATAGTAACTCACTTGGTTCCATAAACTACCAAAGCAGATTTAGTAGCAATCTTAGCCTGATTCATTCTAAAATTGCCTAGTTAGGCCTATCTACTCAGTGACAGGGATAAGAATAATGAACTCTTTGTTAGAAGTGACAATTGGAGCTTACCTTCAAGTTCTGCAGCTTCTCGAGCTTCACGTTCCAGACGCTGCCTAAGTAGCTCCTGCTGCTTTTCCAGATATTGTTTTATGAAACTGTTCTGGCTCATTTCCTCACCAATCTGTGTAGAGGAAATGGAAAAAGGTTTAGGAAAGCAAACCAGAAAAATGCAAGAAAGAAAATTCCATGGAGCAAAGGTCTATCCCTTATAAGTGGACCCAAGAAGGACAACTAAAATGTTGGAAGGTCCTATTCTAAGTTATTCCTATATTGGGAACCAGAATAAATAGCCCTAACAAAAAAATGGCAAAAAGGGTAACTGTATATATTTTATTTTAAATGTTCAGTTTCCAACCAATAAGAGATGTTGGTACAAAAATAACAAAAAGAAATAAAAATTTCTGTAATTATGCCTTTTAATTTGAAATTTTTAGATAATCTTGGATATTATCTTATTAACTTATTTATTTATTTATTTACTTATTTTTTGAGTTGGAGTCTCACTGTCGCCCAGACTGTAGTGCAGTGGCATACTCCTGGCCACCGTAGCCTTGACCTGCTGGGCTCCAGCAATCCTTCTGCCTCAGATTTCCAAGTAGCTGGAACTACAGGCATGCAATACCACGCCTGGCTAATTTTTTATTTATTGTAGAGACGAGGTCTCAATAAGTTGCCCAGGCGGGTATTGAACCCACAGGCTCAGGCAACCCACTCGCCTCGGCCTCCCAAAGTGCTGGGACTATAGGCTGAGCCACCGAGCCCAGCCTTATACTTTTAAATAATCTAAAATTTCCTTTCAGTAGTATCAAAACGGAAAGGGAAAAAAAAATGCTAGTTTTTCCAAAAGTTCAATCTCTACCTGTACAGAACACATTCTGTCAAATATCTCCAAAGTTCAAGTACGGTATTTAAAAGTTTGAAAGAAATCAAGAGACCAAGAAAAGGGACATCCATTCTGCATTTAGACAGATTTGTAACTCTATTTTCTTTTGGTGAAAAAAAATACCTGGTAATAATATTTAAGATCCAGGGGCTTATCCCTTTATTTCCTGTAATACAGATTCCTATGTCACTCTTCTGCCCCTCAGTTTTCTCTGCACAAGTTCTGCTCCCTAAAACCCTTTTACTAGGTGGGCTCAGTGGCTCATCCTGTAATCCCATGCTTTGGGAGGCTGAGGTGACTGGACTGCCTGAGCCCGCAGGTTTGAGACCTGCCTGGGCAACTTGGCAAGACCTCATCTCTATCATAAAAAAAAAAAAAAAAAAAA